AAGCTTAAAATGATTGTCGTCATAACGCCTCGCTCTTGCGAAACCGGCTGCTATTTGTAACCGGGCTGGAAAGAAGCCATTGTTTAAAACTCACATCTGTTTTACATCACTTTATATGGATCATATTTTAAAAAATACGTAAAGAAGTTTTATATATCTCTTGGTTAAGTCAACATTACTAGCTTTAATTCTTGTTATGCCTTTTATAATAATAGAATTAAATTGTTTTCAAAATAAATGTAGTAGCATTCACTATTAGTTTAAAAATATTAACTTGAGAGACAGGGAGGGAGAGAGATTGAGAGATCGATTGAAAATGTGACGTCAATTTAATCTTACTAATGTTATGATGGATGTTTGGAGGTATCTCCGGAACGACTCAATAGATCTGGCTGAAATTTGGCATAGATGTATAAAATGATGAAGCAAAAGCTCAAAGACTTCGATAGCTGGGCCACCTCACGAGGATAGGGGAAGATCGAAAGGCCAAAGCAGTATATCTCGGGACCCCGACTGGTCGCCGACCCATCGGTCGGCCCAGGTACCGCTGGCGAGACGCTGTAGAGCTGGATCTGCGGGAGCTACAAGCGATGGACTGGCAGGAGAAGGCGCAAGACAAGCGACTTTGGCGATCTCTTGTGTCGGAGGTCAAGACCCACTTTGGGTCGATGCGCCAGCGGAGTAAGTAAATAAGTGTATAAAATAGTCTGTAAGAACACATAGGCGACTTATTAACTTTTTTTTAATACCGTGCGAACGGAGTCGCAGGCGACAGCTAGATAAAGAATATTTCCAGTGACCGATTTAGAATATATAGAATAGAAAGAATGAAATAAATAAATCCTTATAAATAAAAATTATGTAGATTTCTTAATCACTTACTCAGCAAGATGTAAAGTTTTTGATTTGTGAGATAGAACTTAATAATCCGTGGATTAATTGCAAATCGTGACTCCCACGTCAGTCTGACTGACGGACTTTATCTCTTAGAACGTGGGTTGCGACTTTAAAAACTTTAATCGAATTGTCTATGAGACAAATTAAATTCATATTATTATAAAAAAATTACTCCAAAAATACAGATGGCATTTTTTCTTTAATTGAATAATTATTGTCTGGATCTCAATGTTACTACGTTACTAATGTTTGGATGTATGAATAGATGATAGATGTTTGTTAGAAGGTATCTGCAGAACGACTCAACGGATCCTGATCAAATTTTCCACAGATGTAAAACATACCCTCAAAGAAATAGACTACTAATGAAGTTATTTCTACTCAGACGGAATCGTAAGTGGAGTCCCGGGCGATAGCTATTCTATATTAAAAAAGAAACCGTCTGACTGATACATTTGCTCGTAGCCCAAATACTGTGTAGAGATGAGATTAAGGTAAGGTTACTTCACCTTAGTTTAGAAAAGAATGGCAACATTACAACTACTGCGGTTAATTTTAAA